CCTAAACATCCCATTTTTGTGCATGGAAGTGAATGAGAGAATTACAATTTTGTGCTTAATACACAATCCATTTAAATATTTGAGAACCAAAATGCATAACACTGGTGATGATTTTCAATCTCACTGATCTGTAAAGTTCACTCTCTAGTCTAGTCTAGAATGAACTCGTCTCGAATTCACATACTTTATTGTGATGAACATAGAATAAATCGCATTATGATTGCATCCCACTAATGTTCACATGCTATTCTCATGTTCAGCTCCCTGTGACTTACATGGTTTCACTTCTACCCTAGATTACGACACACACAACTATGCCGACGGATGATTCCGGCCTCTTAGAACTGGTGTCCTGACCTCTATTCCTTAAAGAACTTGTTCTATGTACAAGACATATATAAAATTGGCAGGCACAGGTATTCATACATTCACAGAATGAATGTGCTCCTCAGAATTCGAACTAAGTTTAGTGTGGCTAGCATCATATGCAAACTCCAAAACTGCATGCCACACGTTTTGAGTCACGGCATTTTTTGTACTATGAATAATAAATATATTATTTATTTACCCTAATCAAAAATGCAAATCAGACATTGATCATGTGACTGTTTGTTCAGATGTTCTTGCTATCAATAAAGCCCAAGATGTTCTTGACAAGACACTACGCAGGCAAAACTATTGTTTTCATGCTCTGGTCAATTTTGAGATTTTGTCTTCTTTCAGACTTGTGTAAAGAAAATATTAGTATTTATTATTTTATTAAAATTTGGCCTGGTTTCATAGACAGGGCTTAGATTAAGCCAGGATTCAGCCTTAGTTCAGTTAGGACATTTAAGTAGCTTTTATTAATGTGCCTTAGAAAGACATTTATTACTGGTGTGTATCTTCAGACAAAACAATGGCACTGACATATACCAGTGCAAGTTGTTTTCAGTTAAGACAGCTCAAACATGCATTATAGTCTGGGACTTGGCTCAAAGGAGTAGTTCACTTTTCAAAAAACTTTTGCTGATAATTTACTCACCCCCATGTCATCCAAGATGTCCATGTCTTTCTTTCCTCAGTTGAAAAGAAATGAAGGTTTTTGATGAAAACATTCCAGGATTTTTCTCCATATAAGTGGCAACCAAATGGTTCAAGGTCCAAAAGACAGTTTCAGTGCAAACTGTTCAAAGGGCTTTAAACGATTCCAGACGATGAATAAGGGCCTTATCAAGGAAAACGATCGCTCATTTTAAAAAAAATAACAAAGTTTAAGTTTATAAGCTCAAATGTTCGCCTTGCTCTGTTCTGTGACGCACATTCGTGACTCTCCTATTCGAACTCCTTAATCAAAATGAATGAATCTTTTACTGATTCAACTCGAACACGAAAAAAGATTTGTTCATTTTGATAAACAAGTTCGAACAGGAGAGTCACGAGCGTGCATCACAGAACAGAGCGAACATTTTAACTTATAAAACTTCAACTTTTTTTTGCTTGATAAGACCCTTATTCATCGTCTGGAATCGTTTAAAGCCCTTTGAACAGTTTGCACTGAAACTTGGACCTTCAACCGTTTGGTTCCCATTGAAGTCCATTATATGGAGAAAAATGCTGGAATGTTTTCATCAAAAATTTCAGCATTTCTTTTCGACTGAAGAAAGAAAGACATGGACATCTGACATGGGGGTGAGTAAATTATCAGCAAAAGTTTTTTTAAAAGTGAACTACTCCTTTAAGCCTTGTCTGAAAGTGGAGGTTTGTCGATTTTAGTTCATAGAGTTCAATTATATAAAGGCTTTGTTCTTAAAATGTGATTTTTTTCCCCCCAGAAATCTTCAGTTAGACTCTTATATGTCAGCAAAATGAATCCAATGTTCTTTGTCCAATGTTCATATTTTTGTTTTGGAAATTGTGCAAACTCATGCATATCTAATCAGATCAAATATCCTTTGCATATGTAAACAAGTAACATTCAGACCTCACAGTAAGAGGTCCATAGAGACTCTATTCTGTTCTCACTTGTTTTGTCATTTCAAATGTAGGGTTCATGATCCCCACCTATCAACTCAAGTCAATTGCGCTGTAATCACTATTGCTCGAAAAAAAGACAGATGGGCATTTTAAACAAATGCAGGGCGTCTGTTTGACGTGACGGTGCATGATTGAGCTGCGCTAACAGCTGTCCCATCGGCCGAGGCACGCTTAGACTCGTCAGGAGTAACTGCTCAGAGACTTCTGTCCTATGCGCATAACCAAACACTTCACAGATAGAGCCAGGAGACCTCCATGCAGAGACTGGATGTCTCCTGAGTTTCCTCAGCACCCCGGGGGTCACACGGCCGATCAATAAGCTATGCATTGAACATTAGCATAAGCTGCGTCTGCATAAGCTGTGAAGTTTCTCTCTTTGTCTCCATCTCCATTGATCTGCATGTCAAAGCATGGCTGAATAAATATATATGGGAGAGATTAGCTGCAGATTACAGCGAGACGAGAAGTCATGCAACGCTCTGAATGCAGTTTGATTTTCCTCCTGCTCCATCATCATGGACAGGGATGCTGAGGTTGCTCATAGATTGACATCTGACCAGCAGCCAGCGTTTAGTGCACACTCAGCAATTAACACTATCGCTGCCGGTTAGATGAATTAATTATTTACATGGATTAGGACCCATGTAGCTTTTCCAAATGCTTCAACATGCACATCAATTTTTCAAGGCAACTGGCAACAAGCAAATGTAAAAGAGTTTCACAGTCTGTCATTGGACAGCCATGTGCATCTCACAATGCAAAAAATGTATGGACGATGGAAGAACTTTTTTAATTTAAGAACCAATACAACTAAAACAACAGAAATCAATTGCATATCCTTCCTCTGTAAAGGGGTAAAATCAGTTTAATAACAATAGAAAATCCTCAAACGGAAAAACCCAAATCCTCAACAGGTTCCTTTTATTCTTATAATCCTTCTGTTCCTCTTTTTCCTCTCTTTCCTTCCTGTCTTCCGTGTTTCACAACAGTCCGGAGCTCCAATATCACACTCATCAGACAGTGAATCACAGTGTTGCATATACAATGTCTAATATTAGTGTTTGGTTTTGCAGAGTTTGCAAACTGTCAATCTTTTCCCAAGTTGCACAAAATTTTCAGATCTTCTTTATTTCTTAATATGTGGTGATTGAGAAAAGCTCCCACACATAGACTAGCAACAATGCAGTTAAGCAATATCACACACATTTACATTTTAACATCGCATACTATACTAGATTTCTGCAATTTATAGTAGGCCAGGCCTATACTTTCCATAGTTTTCTGTATGCATTGAATAAATAGCCAGATGAGTCATTTAGCTATTTATATAAATAAATAGATATGTTGTAGTATACACAACAACTATTTTGGCAATGTAATTCGCTAAAAATGAAAAAAAAAAAAAAAAAAAATAGCAGTATCTAACAATTTTAATCTAAATTCGGGCAAAAAACAAGCAAACAACACTTTTTTGTCCAATTAAATAACCAGTTTAGTAAGACAAGCTATAATAGGGATGCTAGAATTTACACTAGAATCCCACAATGCAATGCCCTCAAATTGAACATCAAATTCCTGCAAGATGAATGAGCTGAAAGTCACACCAGCTGGGATTTTCCACATCTTGACTCATTAAAAAGGCAAAATAACTTTATTTATGAGATGCCACTCGCTAAATTCAATATGCAAAGAGATGAGGTCATGTGATAATGTAGCATACCAGTCTTAGCAGCATATGCTACTGTTTCACACACACAAATAAATATTATAAAGTAAGTAGTCGACTAGTATGACTGGAGTTCAGTCACTGAGTCAAGAAACATTTCCATATGGAATGAATTAGACAAACATCTCTAAAGATTTAGTCAGGACGTCTCGTATAACACCGCCACACCAATTAAATGAGCTAAAATTGGTTTCTAGTCTGTGTTTCAGCACAAAGGCAGTTGTGACCTTGTGACACACTTCCCGGAAATTACTCATGGTAGTGTGTTCAGCTCGTTATAAACGTGTTCCCCATTTTATATTAAAAGAAGTGGAAAGAAATCGAGACTGAGCTTCTTGTGCAGTGAGAATACAAGAGCGCCACCTGGTGGTCAACGTTACCTGTTCTCAGACGCAGGGGAAAAAGTCGAACACTCACGTCTTTGTTCGGTCTGAGGAGAATCTTTAGGAAAAGAAGGTCAGTCACATGAAATAATTAATACACAGCAAAAGACTGTCTGCTTACAGAGAATGACCTTTAATTCAGAACAAGTTCATCCTCAGGAAATGGCAAGACTCGAGTCGGGCTGTGCTCAGAATGATACTAGTGGATACTTCACTGCAAGTCACCTTAAGCTCTTTCAACTTAAATTACATTAAACTTAACAATTTCCTGAATCTTGTATAAAGACTTAACGATTAGCTGAATCTTGTAGAACTTCAAAAAAGATGAACTTTTTTGAGCAACTTTGTATCTAGAAAATAAAGTGGTATTTTGCCATTTAAATCAAACTTTGGGGAAATGTCTTGACAGTTAAGAATGAGTAAAGAAGATTATTAAAATTGTGGTTTATATTGTTTCTATGCAGCTCATTAGAAATAGAAGATCAACTCCTGAGCTTTGCATTGTGGGACACCCAAGTTGTGTACTGTATTTGGCTATATACACTATATATATATATATATAAATGATTATTTCGAAACTGAAGAGTTTCACATTTTCATCTAATTTTGTGTGTTAATGTCATAACTCTTTGCTGCCAATTTAAATAATCAGTTTAGAGATAAAACTGACACTAAAAACTATATATAAAAAAAGTAACCTGCTCATTTTAGCAATGCAACTAATAATGAAAATGTTGGAAATAAGAGTGTTATTTCACATTTTTAAATTCATTTTGTGTAAAAGTGTCATACCTCTTGGCTGTACAATTAAATAGTTTAGTGAGAGATGCAAAAATGAACACTGCAAAAAAGTCGAATCGAGAAAATTTGCAATGTACAAACAAAAAAAGTTAATTTTATTTAAAGGTGATGTACTTACACTTTACTACATGTACTTGCTATAACAGTAAATTATGCATAATTACATGTAACTCTAAACCAAAGCATAACCGTAACTCTATAGTAAGTATATATAGTTAATTAATATTACTCAGTGCTTAAGTGCAATGTAACTACATCACCTTAAAATAAAGCTTAACAAAAGAAAACAGTACACAATTTCCAACATAGTCTCTGTCTATCTAGGCTTGGTTACATTAAAAATGAAATTGAAATAAAAACTAAACACACAAGATCAAATTCATAGAAATGAAGCAAAAATGATCACAAACCTCAAATGGTTAAATAATAACAAAATTGTTGTGCTGCATTACCTCCATCTTCTGAATTTAGTGACAGTGAAAGTTTGAGGAACTCATTCACAAAGAAAAGTCACTAAAGGTCAGTGTTACATTTATTTCTCATTTTTAAAAACCGCTTTGAACAATCAAAATATAAATACATTTTCCCCACACAAAAAATAAACCAGCAACGACACATGACGAAAACTCTCTCATACCAAACAGCCATCTACGCACACACACACACACACACACACCTGAATTTAGAGTTAAAGGTGCAATTACAAAAAGCAAACATCAGACATCTGTACAGACTGCAGTCTCTGTTTCTGTGAGTAGTTTGTGTGTGCTTGATGACAGAACAGGGTTCCTGTTGAGATCGCTTGTGTCTTTTCCAGTTTGACTTCTGATTCTTCTGTAGGGACCGAAACTCATTCAAACTACTGTTAAAACTGCTGGTTTAGTCTGCCAAACTCTGACAGTGTATGACGGGCAGGAAAACACTGGTTTCTCGATCAGGCAACACTACGATTTTTTAAATCAACCAAGAAGCGATTCATAAAGAACACATAATTCAAAAGGCCCAAATCTCAGAAAGAAAGCTTTGATTTGCAGAGGTAAACCACTGACGCGTCGGCGTACCGAGTCCATATGATCCTCCAAAATTCAGTCGGCCAGTGTCTTAGTCACAGGTCCTTGTGCGGGGCCCCGTGTCGCTGGATACTGCTCTGTGACCACAACAACAAACAGTCTGCAGGCTTTCATTGTGGTGTCGTCTCTTTAAAACAGAGGTTTCCAGACACAGTCCCTGCTCTGCTAGGATGCTTTCCCCAGCTCGATCTTCTTCTGAATGGCTTTTGCTGAGTGGTATATCAAAGAATCGATGAGTCCAGCAACTGCAGGAACAGGAGAGGAATAGACTGGGTGAGATAAAGAGCACATCTACCTCTCTACATCCCTGAACTTTACTGTGGACTGTTATCTGTATGTGTAAATATATTCATTTATAATATATATTAATATATTAGATATTTGTAAATGTAAATATATTCATATATAATATATGTTAATATATTAGTTATCTGTATGTGTAAATATATTGATTTATAATATAGGTTAATTTATTAGTTATCTGTATATGTATGTAAATATATTAGTTATCAGTTTATGTAAATATATTAATGTATATGTAAATATATTAGTTATCAGTTTATGTAAATATATTAGTTATCTGTAAATGTAAATATATTAATATATTTGTAAAAAACATACAAAAATAAATATGGGGATTATTTAGTTAAAAAATGCTAATAAATTATATTATAAAAAAGGGCTGCACAATGAAACCTAAATCAATTCAGTTTAGAGTGATAACTGAATTGTAAAAAAGATATATATAAAAAAAGTAATAAAATAAGTCTAAATATATATATATATATATATAAAATGTATACGTTTTTTGAATTTTTTTGTCATATATATACTTTTTTGTTTTTCTATAAAAAGTAATAAAATAAATCTATATCATTTCTTTAATTGTAATATACTGTATATATACACTTTTTTGTCATTCTAAAACGGTGCGTGTGTGTGTATATATATAAGCATTTTTTGTGTATATATACACAAACATACACTGTTTTAGAATAACGAAAATAAAATCAAGTATATATTTTTTATTAATTATATCTATAATCTATATGTTAGGGCAATTATATTTACAATTTTACAGTTCTATTGTATTTTTTTTTAAATACTCAATTATTGTAATGTTACAATAATAATAATAAATGCATTTTGAAAATCGCAATCACAATTTAACAGAAAAATATTTTTTTCCCCAAAAGCATGTAGTCCTATTAGGCTACAGCTTTTTCGAAGTCACCACACTGTTCTTTCAAACAACTTGATGCATGATGCTTCGGAAAGAGTTTTAAAGGTGTTAACATGCATGCTGGAAACCTGAACAATTAAAAAGGTCAAAACTAATCTTCAAGCATTTAAACTGGAAATGGTGTGGCTGGATTTTACACTCTTCTCATGCACAAGATGAGCACTCAGCATATAAATGTTTCCGCCACAGTAAAAACAAGCAGTAAAAGTCATCTTCATTCTGCCCAAAAAAACTGAAATCCCACCTGTGAAAACACCTCCTATAATGGCACACACTCCTGTTAGGAAATGGGTGAAAGACCTGTGGAGGAGAGCCATACAAAAATATATTAAACACTAAAAATCGCTACATTCCATCATGCAACACAGTGGTGTAGACCGATTCTTACATAATATATGCACTTTAAATGACAATGACAGGAGACGTACCTCTGCCTCTCTGTGAATTTCACCATCATTGGAGACAGCTCATAAAGCACAAACACACCAGGTAAACCCTGATCTCCAATCAGCCCATTCGCTACTTTCTCATGTCTCGTTACTGAAAACTGGTTTGTTTTAACAACCTAAAGTAAAAGGAAAAACATGTTTTTTTTTAAATACCTTAAAGAGTCTTCTTAATTTACATAAAATATTACCATGAAAACCAGCCATTTTTAATTGTTCCTTCCACAGTTATTGCCAGTAATGTAAAACCTTAATAAATAAGAATGTTTTGCCAGTGGTACTAATACTAAGAACACAGTTTTATCCATTTGTTTCTGTTTTTATTCCCTATATAATGGACTGCATTTATTTGTATAGCTCAGCTCCCTTACCTCTCCATCTCCTTTAACGTATATCGTTGGCACAATCTTGACAAAATACTGGTACATCATTGATGCTGTAGAGCAAAAAAGTGCATAGATCAATATAACATACAGTTCCAAATTATTCTCTTATAATCCCATTGAACTGACAACACATTTTATTTTTCAATAATGCCAAGAGTTAACATTTGTGACCTAATCTTTCCATGACAAAGAGTACCAAATCTAAAAATTGTTTTTTTTTTTTTTTTAAAGATAGACCCACTGTCCTCGCATGAGGACATCCGTTTTATGCAAAAACTACTTTTAGTTATTATACTTATTAGGTCCTACTTATCCCAAATAGCAAAAACAATTATAAAATGCAAACCAGGCTAACCAGGCAAACTCTCAGTTCTCAGGAGGATTAGACATGATAAAAAGTGAAAAAACGTGATTGTTTGACGTTAATACAATTAAAAGAATACACTAATTACATCACAAACAGCCTGCAGTTCCACCCTTCACCGCTAGGGTGAAGGATCTCCTACTCAGGACACTCCGCTAGAGGGCGCTGCTGCCCTTTAGAGCCTCGCATTCTCCTCCGCTTGTACTTTAAACATCAACCACTTCCTGTCAAGTAATGGCGTCTGTGTGAAGCAGTCTTATAACAAACACTTAACAAATCTATCAGAAAACGAACTAATAGAGGCACTCACATAGCGATTTGAACAAGGTAAGCAGATTTTCTTCAAATATATTTCCTGATACGTAACGTTACATAACAGTTTGTTCAAGGCTAAGGTTGGGAACCTTGGTGACATAAACGAAATAGACGACTCACGTGCAATAAACTAACATTAAGGTTGAAGTAAAACTAAAATCTATAAAAGCAAAGTCATTTAGACCAAATTAAAAAGACCATTTCATTTCAGTAGCTCATATAGTTTCATTTCCTTATATAAAACGCAGGTGTCTAGTTTATCAGTAAAAAACTGAGCTACTACCTAGAATACGAGCAGCATTTTAGGGCATTATAGAGGTCATTATATGTTGAATAACTCGGAACGCGACAGAAATGAAATATTCAATATTTTAAATGATATATTTATACATATATATATAATAAAACGTGTTGCATTAATAATTTTTTGCCTATTAATAAAGTCTGCATCATCCTCCTTCCAGATGCCAGTGTCGGTAGGACCGTATGGACAGACGCAGCCCAGTTGCTTTGACAGAGTCAAGATGGGCTTCATGATGGGGTTTGCCGTGGGCATGGCTGCAGGCGCCATGTTCGGAACTTTCTCCTGTCTCAGGTATGAAGACTGTCATATTTTGGGTTATCTATAATACATATTCAATAACTGGTATTTTGGCAGAAAAGCTGTTATTGAAGCTGTTATTGTTTTAATTGAGCAGGATCGGCATGAGGGGTCGAGAATTGATGGGCGGAGTTGGGAAGACGATGATGCAAAGCGGCGGCACATTCGGAACCTTCATGTCGATCGGTATGGGCATCCGCTGCTGAGATCACACTAATGCCACATCTCAACTGATAGGACTTTTGTAGATTCATTTATTTGTCATCATACCCACATTCAAGGACACGGGTGTCAATAAAGACCGATTGAAGAAAACAGATTTTTCTGTTCTCAATCTAAGATTTAATTGTTGATAGTTAACTAGATTGACACTTTGAAGACAGCCCCCCTTTTTGGTTTGTGTCCAGTAGAATAAGCAACATGGGATTGACCTTTCTGCTGTTTATAGAGGGCTGACAATAAAATGAACACACCGAAGATAATGAAGGGCTCTTTAATTCTGGACAACACTATGTTCTTTGGAACACATATTTTTAGTTTACGCATGAAAATAAGAGACGGCACTCACTTACCTTGAGGTGCTGCTACATTAGTCTCATCTAAAGGGTTGACAATTCCAGGATAGTCCTTGCCAAATGAAAGATGCTTGATGAAATGTGTCATGTTGATCTATGGTCATACCAAACAAATTCTGTTAGGTCTAATACTATGGGCAATGGCAGTCAGGCTTATTGAAAAGAAGAAATGAAGCAACTCACATTGTCTAGTCCAAAGCTCTGCAGATCATGAACTGAAAATAAAGAAATCAATTGACGACATGAATAAATGTTTCGAAAGACCCACAATTTGTAAATGCACCTCAACTGAGTAAACTTGGTTAGCCTAGAAATTGGCACTTATTTTAAACAAACGCAGAGCGTAGTACATTAAGTGGTCACAGATGCGCTTGCTGATGAGAATCGTGACAAATTAATTGATGTTATAGAAGCCCCTGCAATGTCAAATCACAAACTGACTATTTGTTACAGACTAAATCTTAAATAATGTGCAGAGAAAAGCAGAGTTACTGATGTAGTAACAAGGTAAATTCTAACTTGTCTTGGAATAAGGATTTATTAAAATATAAAAGATCAACTTACTTTCCACAGCATGCACTGCAGAAAGAAAAGAAAATGGTCACTAAATGGCTTCGATTTTGGAAAGCAAAGTTTTCAAGAGGAATTTGTGACAACCACTGGCCCTTTAAGCTCATTCCAATACTAGAGAATAATTGCAAATGCCAAATTGTGAGACTTGTCTCTCTCTTTTTTTATTTCTATTGAAATAATGTTTGGGACTTGAATCCAGGGTCTATTAATGAAGTATTGGATATGCGCTTAAGCTATTGGAAGAATAGCCTTTGCATACCAAGCGTAACCGGTGTTAGTCCTGTACCTTGTTACTGAGAAAGATTGTGAGCTTTGATGGGAAAGCGTAGAAATCTTTTTGTCCCCAAGATAAAAACCCAGACTTCCCAAAAATCATTTCATTTATAAAACCACTTTGATTTAGAGCATACATGGTCAACACCACAAGGTAATGAATGCGTAGAGGAATTCATACGATCTTAAAGGGATGGTTCACTTTGAAATTCATTTTTGATATGTTTTAGCTTAGTATTTTCAATTTTGATATTTTTAGGTCTGACTTGTCTGTCAGTCAAATAATGCTGGTATATGGGGTCCACCTCAAAGAGCATGCACAGAGAAGTCCAAATTAAACATGATTTAATGACTCGTAAATGTAAGTACACATTGACGGCCTAAGACACGAAACGAGCGGTTTGTGTGAGGAAACAAAAAGTATTTATATAATTTTTAGCTCTTGTAACCACATGCACAAAGCGCCCGCGCACTCAGATCACTTGGACGTGGCTGTGGTTACAAGGTCAAAACGATATAAAAACTGTTCATTTTCTTACACAAACCGCTCGTTTCGTGTCTTAGGCCATCAGTGTGTACTTACATTTACGAGTCATTAAATCATGTTTAATTTGGACTTCTCTGTTCATACTCTTTAAGGTGGACCCCATAGACCTCCATTATATGACTGACAAGACAAGAACGGTTTGACCTAAAAATATCAAAATTTAAATTACTGTGGAAACAAAGACACCCATCAAAAATCAACATCAAATTAATTTCAAGGTGAACTATCCCTTTAAACGCACACTTGCAAACACAATGACGGGACAAGAAACTGTTCATCAGCCCAGAAACTTAGCAACTGGCCAATATAAAACAGACTTTGAGGTGATTTAAACTACATATACTTCGGTGCACAGACAGACTGATGAACAGTTTTGAGAAAGCAGGCAGGAAAAGCCAATGAAAAGACATGCATTGTGTATTTCTCTAAATAAACACAAATGCAGATCTTAGCGGCATTGAGTAGCTCACAACAACACTCCTTTACATAACAAGAAATGAGAAGCTACATGCAGACAAGACTTTAAGATCTGATGCATACCGGCTCATAGGCTTTCAATTTGATCAAAATAATAATCAATAAAAAGTTTAAACAGGTTAATAGGCTAAAACTACTAAACATGCCTCGGCATCAGACCTAAAAGCTTTGACTTGTGTTTGATTCATACTTGATAACTAAACATGAGTCTTTACCATGTACATGAGACTGCTGGAAGCTCTTTCCAGGGGCAAAATGGAAATTTCCTGCCACCTGTAGAAATATATAAAAAAAAAAAGTTGTTATTTTTATAAAATGTATAAGCTTGTGGGTTGTGGTTAACCTAAAACATTCACTTCGTCCAAAATCCCATACTGTACTACATTTGTTTTGAAACTTACTTCGTGAGCATTAAAAAAAGTATGTTGTACTATGAATGCATAAATGTCACCGTCGTGTGACCTACGCCGTCAGTTGCGTTGTTACACCACCATTCCCAAATCCTCCCCATGGCCTCATGCGATAGTGAAGTGTACATCGAATGCACACTTCAGAATCTCGGCGGACGTAGTAAGTCATCCAGATCCTTTCCGCCTACTATATATTTGGACGTACTACTCTGTTTGCATACTATATATAATGGAGGTGTAAGATTTTGGACGCAGCAATTGATTCAGAAATCAAATCTTGGGCTGCACGTTACCTTATTGACCTCCAGAAAGCCATAGACTTGACATCCCTCATTCTTCTGGTCCTGCATCTTCTGGCTGAAGCCCTCTCTCTTACACTGCTCAATGGAGTCAGGGGTCTTAAACGCCCAGCCGCGCCGTCGATATGCCTCCCGCACATCATCACAGGTATTGCAACACCTGAAGAACAATCACAATCATAAACTTTAGGTGGATAGCCAGCTATGTTTCAGTTAAGTTTGCGCCAACCCTGGGTTTTAGGTAGAGGCCGACCGATCAAGGATTTTGAAGGCTGATACCGATACAAATATTTTTGGGTTTTAAAATCCGATATTCCGATATATCGGCCGATTTTTTTTTTTTTTTTATTAAATATTGTTGGATTTCCCACACGTGCAAAAGAAAAGCTAACTTTTCTGAACAAGATACGTTTGATACTTTTTCTCTATGTCTAAACGTTCACTCCTCGCAAGTCTAACTTACATTTTACAATGCAGGCACTGTAACTAGAGATATGCTAGTTATAAATACAGTAATCATTACTTTATTTAGGCAGAAAAAGTTCATTGTGGTTTCCAAGCTCATTAATGTTAACGTTAGCGGTCTTCCACTGATGATAGTGGCATATAGCTTTGTGGTTAGCTAGTCTATGATGAGCCATAATTTAGCAATAGATAACATCATACTGCAAATTGTAAAACATATATTTTCAATATAACAGGCCAAGGAGAGATGATTGAAGCGTGTTTCGTCCATTTTTATTTTATTTTTTAAATATTAATTTATCGGCCATTATGACCGCCGATACCGATATTTTGGAAAATGCCTAATATCGGCCGATAATATCAGCCAGCCGATATATCGGTCTGGCTCTAGTTTTAGGTATCATGAAAGTGGTTTGGCTTAGTAAGTGTTCATCACCATAGTAACTTACACTCCACGGCTAACCTGTTTTGCAAGCCGAACTTGGACCAATCAGCTGTGAGCAAAGTGACGCATGTATCCACAGCAAATTATTTAAAAAGATAACCAAACGCAGTGTATTACTGCCTAATGAACATGTTCATTCTGGTGTCTGTGAACGCACGCTCTCTCAGTTTAACTTCGTACAATAGGTTGCCAGATTTCTATAGAGCCTTCCAGACGAAAACCCGACTAAAAAAACACGTAAACAGGCCTTAATATTTAGCGAAAAAACACCCAATCTGGCAACAACAGCCACCAGTGTCGCACCGCCGTCGACAAAGCAGCGAACAAGGAGGCGTCGTATGATCATTTAAACGGATTTTATGACGAGGTCGGTGAGGATGGGGAAAAATCTTACATTTTTGTGCAAACTGCCCGTCAATAAAATAATTGTTGTCTGTAGTTGAATTTTGGGCTGTGGCAAAAATAATAAAAAAAGCTCACAACATATGGAAAAAAATAACTATGAATAAACGAGTTCATTTTTTGAAGAATGAACTATGAACTAGTTCATTTTAAAATGTGTGAACTGAACTTTAAACTAGTTCATGTAGAAAGTGAACTTTCCCAACACTGAATACTACAATATCACAGATTGCCTTATACACTTTGTATTAACATGTCTCAAATGCATTTCCAGTAAAAAGTCTTTAGCAGAAAACAGAGTTTACACTACAAATTTGATTTGCAAATGTTAAATCAACTCAAGTGTGAAGACAGATCCCCTGGAGGGTTTTTAAACTTCTCATCAACGTCTTCCTCTTTCATTCAGCCAGGTGATATTGATCTTAAGCTGGTATCTTGACAATGTACATGTCAAGTGTCTGTCAACTAGAAGGATTGTAACTACATTTTTTAGAACCGGTTTCACACCAGTAGAAAGACCTGTTCTTTAAGCAACCACAGCTGCTAGGTTAGTGGTGGTGAAACTCACTTGAAATCTTCAGTCTCCGCTCCGTAACAGCTCTCGCAGCGCTCAGGATCCAGCGTACTGGGGTCAAACACCCCTTCCTCCACTTTACCTAAATCTGCACAGAAAACAACAGCATGTCAAATCAAGGCATATATTCTACAATCAGTGATCTTTATTGTAAAACCAAGTTTGTAGTAAAATGTCCCTCTTTTATTAATTAGAATTAGCCTCTTTTTTTTTTTTGAAGAATTGCACAAAGAGAACATAAAAGTATAACATTTCTCCTTTTCTCAATACTTATGGGTGAACTATTACTTATGTATAAACGGATGATTAAAGTTAGACTGACAACTGCATTGATACAATTCTTGTTTTTGAAGATTTGAAATCTTTTAAAGTTCACAAATGGCACAAAACAAGACAAGCAATATCCCTTTTTTCACTTTCACTTACGGTTGAACTAATCCATTATTTAAATATTTTAAGTATGTGTGAACATGGTGTTAAATTTAGCTTGAAAATTGCATTCATGCAATTATAGTTAATGTGAAATCACTTGATGAGCAGCTTTCAAGAACGATACACTGTACATTATTCAGCAAAATATAAGAATTGTTAAAGCACTTTATGTGTAGATGCTGACCGTGTTTTTCAGCCTCAGTTGTGACCGGCTGGCCATCTTTGTCGAGTCTCTGTTTAAACAAGTTATGCTCAACATCCAGCTGCTGCTCCCCTGCTACGTCCATGGCATCAATGCTCAGATCTATGAGAACAAAATAACAAACATGTCAATAACACCTGCACACAGAGAAAATAACTAGCATATAATAACAGTAATAATAGTACATAATAACAATAATAATTAAAACAGCGGGAGTAAATATGACACCAACATTGATTGGATAAGCGTCATCTGTCTTTGGGATGAAATATGACAAGGTCATGTTCTTGACAGGCAGCAATCCACATATGCTATGAGCTAATCATTTCAGGTTTTTCAACACATTTTACAGTATAGGGCATTCTATCATTATAACTTTAACCCAGCCAGACAGCACATGAACAACAGTATTCAGCAGGACTGACCCAAACATAAAGTACAGAACAAAATGTTTGCTTACAGGCACAAGGCATATGTGGAAATATAACATCAATGTTGATCCTTAGTTTGTCTCCTCGGGAAGTGTCTACAAATAGTTCAGGATAGACCTAAAAGAGACGACATCAAACCCAGAACCCAAAGATGTTTCATCAAAACTTTATGAACAGTGCACTATTAAGAAATAAGCTCTCCACACACAGCCACTAATATAGACTGGCAGATGTCATGAGATTGAGACATATTATAATGCACAGGTTTATGAAGTCATTCACCCACCTCCTTAGTTAGATAATACTGCAGCTCAGAGAAGAACAGAATCAACATGATAAGTCCGCTGATGATGGTCACTATAAAGTGAACAAAGAACATGTGAATTAGGAAACAAGTGATCTACATGGCATTTAAATCAGTCACATTAGGCACTCTTATCTCATACAGGCTTGGATTTATGAGCCCCCGGTGACATTTTCCAATCAAGCTATGCTCATTTAACATATGTATTTAGATGGACATATTTTAAAACGTTATGTTAATTAGCCTGTTCGGTAGTGTTTCTCCCCATGAGTCTGTGTGTATGAATGGCGCTCAGCACCTCTAACGTTACAGAAAACTGTGGATTTATATCACTCACCCGCGGCTCCTCCACATGTTTTGATCCTGAAGTCCTCTAGAGTTTTCGGATAAGCGTCAAATTGTTTAAGTTTATTTAACGCATCCATTCTCCCTCTCGTGCGGCGGTAAAGCTAGCCGTCACTTCTATTTCCAGTGACCCATTTCCGGTACACTGAGGAAGTGATGGAATCCTCCCAGCCAATCAGATTCCACCGCGTAGCTGGAGCGTCTGTCCTCTGTCGACGCTCTAGTGGCAGATCTCAAATATCTCCATCGTAAAAACTATTTTAGATATTTCTTATTTAATCATTTCTTACCATTAAAATATTTGTTTTTATAGGCTGGTATGTATTTTAGACCGACATAAATACATTATTCTTATATTAGTCACAACGTTTTATAATACACCCATGACATTACAGACAAAAAGTAGACTTTAAATTAGTAAGATGATGGATCAAAGTTACACAATTTAACGTTAACCATGCAATGCAGCTTTATTTAAATATACAGATTTAAAAAATACATATTTTGTGGCTTTATTTGGGAAATACATATTTTTGTGTTGTTTATTTGATTTATTTTGCAAGTTAAATCTGATCCCATTCACTTCTAATCGGAATTAATTTGTTTCAATGTTACCAATCAAAGTCAATCATGGACAAACCCTTAAAGATATTTTATTAATCTATACTACCGAGAATACGGGAGTAAACTTTTATTTTCTCTAGTCAATACACAAAGAAGAATGCTTTATGTCGACCTAAATTTCACAACAAATTACTTTAAATTAAATTATATTGATATTTACTTATTAGTAATCCCCATTTTTTATTTTATAAATGTTTATATAAATATATTTATACCATAGGTGTGTGTGCGCAAGTTATACACATTTTTAAATATTAATTCGATTCACTTTTGCATTCTTCATTTAGTCTTTAAAGAACCACAATAATATATTTAGACTGATCAAGTTGTAAAAAACCTTTTTGGGCCCTTTTAAAATCATTCCTTCTGTTTCTGCCTTATGTTGTCAAATCTAAGCACATACACTTCTGTTGTTTTAGCATTTCAGGTATTATTTACAATCATTTTGAGAGGTCTGGCAAAATATCTTATGTATTCAGCGTTCTATCGCTTGATAACACTATTTTAGTGACAGCAGATTAGACCTGCAGTTATGAAGATCTCAGAGTATGACTTCCTAAAAAATTTGAGAAAGTTGTAAGAAAAAATAAAAATAAAAACCCAGCAAAATTAGTATTCTGGTCTAGTCCAACACAACCTTCAGGACATCTAAAAAAAACCACAGACTGTCTACAAAGTTAATTCACAACATTTTCTACACTTTTAAACTAATCTTATATGAACTTATAAAGTTCTAAGTTTGGGATGTGATGTACATTGCAGTACATCTAATTTGTTACTGTCGTTTTCAATAAATGGCTTTAGCATTTCCTCATTTTTATTTTTTAGATAAAAAAAAACAAAAACAAACTCCAGCTAAATGAATCAGACAGAATCAGATAGTAAACAGAATTGTTATAAGAGGTCATTAGGGTATACCGCTTTTATTAAATATTTATACAACAAAGTGTAGAGCCTAGTGCGAGGACAGATCTCACAAAGCACAAGAAGGTTGCAAATGTATTTTTGATTTTCGCCTCCGAACACATCGCCTTGCAAACAACCACAAATAATTCTTTGAGATAATATTTATTTTACAGTAAAACATCACAAAGGTTGTTTCAGATCCCACTCCCCAAGTCATTTAGGAGCAAGGACATCTATCTGACAAGATGTCCAGCAGTTATTGATGACAGCAACCTTATCTTGAAGCATTGTGCATTCTGAAAAAGATCGGAGAAATGTGAATCAGGTTTTTACATTGCGTCAAGGCCTGGTGAAGGCAGCAGTTTGGCTTTATTTGGGAGGCCTGTAGGCAATCTTTCTGCTCTTCAGCACAGACCACCTGTGCCTCTTCATGTAGTACACCAAGGGAACAAGTATGGAAGCGCCCATCAACAACTGCAGAGAGAAAAACAATTAGCACTATTTTTATTAGAAGTAGGATGATTTGTTGAATGCTTTTCTGTTATACAGCGGTCATTGACGCTGCACAGCAAAAAAAGAAAAGGAAAAAAAAAGGTGCTGTTTGGATTGAAATTGTCAAATGCTTAAGAGTCTATGATTGGCTCATTATTGCAGTGATTGTTATGTTTGGCAGCAGTTCTTCTAACCCTAAATGATGGAGCGTGTAGCTTTTAATTTCTTAAACAACCATGTAGGAAAACACATCATGGCAATTTTCCAGAATGACAATGTCAAGATTCATCAGGATCAAACTGTGTAAGAATGGTTGGGAGGGAGCATGAAGAATCATTTACACGCATGAATCGGCACCTCTGAGTCCAGACCTTAAATTCAGTGAAAGTCTTTGGGATGTGCTAAAGGAGACTTTACAGAGCTTGACACTTGCATTGCCATTATAAGATCATGATTTAAAAAAAAAAAAAAAAATGCACCTCTTTATGTAAAAAAAAAAAAAACATCACAAATTTTATTTCCATCAAGAGGTGCATCATTTTTTAAATCCCTGCAATAACGACCCAAACATAGGCTTCTAAAGCATTTGCCAATTTAAATCCATCCAGAAACTTATTTTGGCCGGGCAGTGTAGTTTTGCATTACATAAATCCAACCTTCTACCAATATCAAATGATCAGTCAGTTGAGCCTGAAGAAATCAGGAAAACACAAACCTTCAATCCCATACGTTTGCGTTGGTCATGTTCTGGCTCAGACGCCCACCTCAGGAAAGTACAAACATCTTTAGCAACCTGGCTCATGGTGGCAGGGGTTCCTATGGGGAAAAAGTGAGCTATTAAAAAACTCTGACCTACGGTATGTAATACTTCATGTTATTTACCTAATTGGCATTAGCTCATACAAGTGACTTGTGACAACTTAATGACTATTTATTACTGACTACTTCTAATCCAGTAGAGAGGATTAATTTATCAGTAAATGGGACTTCTAAATGGCTAATTTATCTGTAAATCAAATCAGAAGGGATATTTAGTCTTTGTATGATATCACTTGATATCTGCAGTCTTTGTATGGCAGAATTGAATTACAATCAAAGCCCAGCAAGTATGAAATATAACCCATGAGTAAAATATATCATTAATGAGAATGCCACCTGCAGGCTGACAAATCTTGTAATTTTATTCCCCCCATTCCACCAAAAGGAATTTAATGCTTTAAAAATAGGGCTGTGCAAAAGTTAATTGCGATTAATCGCATCCAAAATAAAAGTCTGTGTTTACATAGTATATTTGTGTGTGCTGTATATAATTATTTTGTATATATAAATACACACACATGCATGTATATGTTTAAGAAAATGTGTTATTCCTATATAAAATATTTATATTTATATAATATAGATGATGTATTTATATATATATACAGAATTTAAGTGCAAATAATTCTTAAATATATACATGCATGCATAGGTATTTATATATACAAAATAATTATATACAGCACACTCAAATATATTATGTAAAACAGACTTTTATTTTGGATGCGATTAATCGCAATTAACTTTTGCACAGCCCTATTTAAAAATTAAAAATTAGAAGGCAAAAAAAGAAGCGCAACAAGTTGTATTAAATGACAGACATAAAATTATCTATTGACAGTCCTAGTACAAATATGAATAGGGGCGATGTTACTAGAAAACTAAACTCACCATCTTCAAACTCAAGCACCTCGTTGTAGATGGGTGGTGCCATACCAATGGCCTGACCAGGGAAATAAGGGTTGTAATAAAGGCCCTCCCTCATGGACACACCAGCTGGAGGATCACAGTAACCGGTCAGGAGCGAGAACACGTAATCTTCCCCTCCATGCCTGAGAGAGAAATGGAAATCATAAAATGTAAGGGAAAAAAAAATCAGCAGTATGATAACACATCTATAGTGTTTTATCTCTCTTAATCATATAAAATGTTTACTAAAAATAGCTTGTAGTAAAACAATTAATAAAGCCAGAGCAAACATGACCACAAAAAGGGCTTTTAGGGGGGATTTTATGAGGATTCAGATACCAGAAATGTCTGACACTTTTAAAGTGCAAAATTAAAGTAATCTGTTACCTGGCATTGACAATATAGCTGAGGTCAGGGGGCAGAGCGCCGTTGTTTGCAGCACGGGCAGCCTCAGGGTTCGAGTAGGGTTTGGGGAAGTAATCCGAGGGTTTTCCAGGTCGGGTGAACATCTCTCCTGTGTCATCAGGACCATCCACAACTTCAATCTACATAACAGAATTATAAAAAATTATACTGGGCGCTTTTCTACAATATTAACTAATGACAATAAAACAGACCATCCTAAGTCAATTTATTGCAGTAATTCCTCTATCAACTAGTAGAAAATGCTGAGAAAACACCTGATTATGCATGCAAAAAAACAAAAAAAAAAAAAACATCATAAACTGGAAAACTGGCTTAATTCTGAAAAAAAAAAAAAAAACAACAACTGTGATATCAATTTTTGGTCAAACCGCCCAGCACTAATATACTAAATGTTATACTATACAAATTTTATCAGTAGTCAAGTCACCATTTATATAGCGCTGTTTTCACTAGCAGATCAATACATATTAAGTCTTCATAATCTTCCTTACTGACTTGGCACTCCTACATTTGACAATTCATATGGAGTAGGATGGAGTATAATAGAACTCCAAAATAAACCTTCATCAATCAGTACTTTTAAGGTTTAATATAAGTACATTAAAAATCAAGTGCTTTTGTACTTTTACTCAAGTAATACTGAAAACTTCAACTGGAGTAATATTCTGTTAGAGTATCTGTACTTTAACTCAAATACTTGATTTGTGTACTTCATTGACCACTGGTTGTGCGTGTTATCATCATACAGAATCTGACCTCTTCAGCCAGGCTCTTGACCTCCGCCTCTGTGTGTGACACTCCAACCAAGTTACGGAAGGCCAAATACTCCATACTATGACAGGCCGAGCACACCTGCTTATATACCTGATACCCACGACGAATACTGTAAAACAAAGCCATTGAAAGATTAGTTAACTCAGAGCTAGCGATTTCTCTGTTATTTGATATATTGTCCATTGATATGTACACTTCCTCC